ACCTTCTTGGCATGTCTTCGGGGGGCCGCTTAGAAAGAGTTTTGAAGCCTTTTGGGTGCCGTCTTGGGGCCTCTTGGAGCCTCTTGTGGGCTTCTTGGGGGCCTCTTGGGGCCTCTTGGGGGCCTCTTGGAGACTTCCTGGGGGCATCTTGGGGCCTATGGGGGCATCTTGGGGCGGAGAGCTTGATTTTTGAGTTCGCGTTCCCTCTCTTGGGCCCCTCTTGGGGCCTTCTTGGGACCCTGTTGCGCCGTCTTGGGCGGCTCTGGGGCCGTCTCGGGGCTCTCTTGGGCCGTCTTGGGGCCCTCTTGGGCCGCTTAGGCCGTCTTGGAGCGATTTGGGGAGCCTCTTGGGCGGTGCTTTAGCGCCGGAAACACGAAACAGCGAGAATGCAAAAAACATTGAAAACACCAATGAACATAAACGACTTTGCCCTCTCGGGGCGCTCTTGGGCGGCATCTTCAAGGCCTCTTGGGGCGTCTTGGGGGCCTCCGGGGTAGTTTAAAACGCATCGTGCGTCGCCAGAGACCCCTTGACGGCGTCTTGGGGGTGTCTCGAGTCGAGACCGTCTGGGGCCGGGCTCCATGTTATCCTGGGGAACCCCGCCCCCCTTGTCTCCTCACACCTGGCTTCCCTCTCAAGGATGCGTGTGATGTGCGCTCCAGAGGCCATGCTTCCCTGTGGAAAACAATCAGGCGACGAAGCAACACGGGCTCTACGCGAGGCGACGTAGCGACCTTGCGCCGCCGCTCACGACGACCGCCTGCGCACCACGCTGCATTGGAGACGAGGGCGCTCACGCGCGACCTTGCGCGCGCAGCTTACCGGCCAATGCCGATGAAGACGAACCCGCTTTCCTTCGTCGGTCAGTGGGCCCACGCTCCCGAGGCCAAGATCCCTGGTAACAAAAAAAAACGATCGACCCGCACGCCTGAGGCCACGACACCCCCTGGTGAAACTGTAATGGACCCGTGCTCCCCGAGCTTGCAGGGACGGCCGAGGCAAGCAGCCAAAAGGCCGCCAAGGGGGCCCACGATGGGCTCCAAGACAGCCTAAGATGGCCCCAGGACGGCCCACGATGGCGTCAAGAGGGCCCAAGACGGCCACCAAGACGGCCCCCAAGACAGCCCAAGAGGGCCGAGGACCCCCAGCAGGGCCAGACGAGGCCCAAATCAAATAGAGTTGTCTCTAACTGTTTGAAAGATTTGGGTGTCTTCGCATGTTCGGGCTTCGTTCGGCTCCAGGCGGCCCTGGAGGTCTCCAAGACGGCCCCAAGAGAGCCTCAAAATGGCCAATAATCCTCAAAGGCAGCCTCAAGGCAGCCCCAGAAGGTCCCTAGAAGGTCCCAAGAGAGCCACAAGCTGGCCTGAGCGGGCCTCCAGAGGGGCCCACGATGGCCTCAGAGAGCCCATCGATGGCCCACAAACCGCCCCACGAAGGCCGCAAGAGAAACCCCCCCAGACGGCCAAGCGGCCCCTAAGACGGCGAGAGCCCCAAAACGCCCCAAGAGGGCCCAGAGAGGGCCCGAAACCCGGTAAGACTGACATACAAAAACCCCAAAAGGACCGGCAACGGAAGACAGACGACGAAGACGACGAGACAACCCCCGAGAGGACGCGAGAGCATGTCACACGTCACGGCTTTGCCAAGCCTCTGGACACGAGGTGTCCAACGTTAAGGCCACCTGTCACTCGACGCCCAAGGTTCTGGGCTGGCACTGCGCAGCTGAGTACTCACCACAACCATCATCATCGTCATCGAAATCGTCACCATCACCATCATAATCACCATCATATCATCATCCACATCAGCATAACCAGCATCATCCACATCATTATCATCAACCACATCATATCATCGTCATCATCATCATCATCATCATCATCATCATCATCGTCATCGTCATCGTCATCGTCATCGTCGCCGTCATCATGAGCAACATCGTCATCATCATTAGCCATCAGAAGTACCATGAGCAGCAAAAGCAGCGTCCGCCATATCATCATCCTCATCAACATCCCCACTCCCGTCCCAACCCTCATCATCATCGTCACCATCAACAAAAACATCACCCTCATCATCGTCATCCTCATCATCAGCATCATCATCAACATAGCCGGCAGCATCAGCAACCACAGCAGCACCACCATCGTCATTACCTATACGAAGACCCTTCGGATGATAAGGATAGTGGTGGGGGAAAAAACAACTGACGACAACCACGATGGCTGTGTTGATGACGATGCTGAAGATGCACCCTCGAGTTGGCGACGACGCGTGGTGACGATGCTGCGCCGAGATCTCAGTACCGATATCAGTATCGATCCCGCAATCAATCTCACTCGATCGATCCCACCATCGCTCTCACTGGTCGATCGCAGTCTTGTACCACGTTTGATCCCAAGATCGATTGCATTATCGATCTCGCTATCGATCTCACTATCGGCCTCACGATCGATCTCACCACGGGACGACACAGGACATCGACGGGACGCTAACGGGACACCGACGGAACACCCGCGGGACACCAACGGGACACCATTGGCACACCGTCGGGGCACCAATCGATCTCACTTTCGATCTCCCGATCGATACCACTATCGCTTGCACGATCGGGCTCACTATCGATCCCACGATCGGTCCCTGTATCGATGTCACCACCGACCCCACCACGGGACACCCCAGGACACCGACGGGACATCGACAGAACACCAACGGGACACCGACGGAACACCGACGGGACACCACGGGACACCATCGGGACACCATTGGGGCACCAATCGATCTCAGTTACGATCTCACTATCGATCCCACTATCGGTCGCAATATCGATTACACAAGCTCGATCTTATTATCGATCTCATTAGACCACGGACACCGAAAGGACACCGACTGGACACAAACAGGACACCAACGGGACAGCGACGGGACAGCGACGGGACACCAAAGGGACACCGAGGGGACAACGACGGGACACCGACGGGAAAACCACGGAACACCAAGGGGACACCAACGGGACACCTCGGCGGAACAACGCGGCCACCGCCCGCCCACCGCGGAGGAAAGGCGGACAGCGACGGGACACCACGGCGGGGAAACACAGACATCGCCCGCCCACCGGGGAGGGAGGGGCGCCCTAGCCATGGAGTCATTACTCTTGCCCGCCCGCGCAACTTCGCCCCGCCCGCATGCACGACGCGAAGCAGAATCCGATTCCCCGGTTGTCATTACCAGCATCACCATCGAATCGAACCGAATAGCTCCACAGGAGGCGGTCTTCTAGAGGGGGGGCTCTTGAAATACCAGGGCCTCGGAGCATCGCTTTTGGCGATCGGGCGGGGAAAAATTGTTGTCCGAGGCCTGGCCACTCGAGTCCAGGCCCGCGCTGCCTCCATGCAGGGCCGCCCACCCGTCGGCGCGCAGCCAGGTGGGTGCCCCACTTCGGAACACCGCCCTCCGAAACTCATAGCTCAGCTCACCTCGCCGCGGCCTTAAGCAAGCGCTGACAGCGGGGCCCCGAACGGCGTCCGATTAGCAGCTCCCGCCCACAGCCACTGCGAGGTGACTCAAGCCACTCCTACCCTGGCTGGCCCTCGCCTTGCCCCCCCCCCCCCCGCGCGCGCGACCCCGACCGCCCCTGCCACGACCCCGCCCCCCCGCACTTCCAGGCAGCGCGGCAACAGGAACCTGCGGGAGCAGGGGCGATATGCATGTCTGAAATGATCGGCCCGCATCTTGTCCTGACATCGCACTAGGCGGGACAAGCCCCCGCTCAGTAAGGTAACGCAGCCTCGCGCTGCCCTCCAGTCCGCTCAAGCCTCTGCCTTTCCCGTCGCTGCCGCCAGGCACTTCGACGTCTCGCGCTCGAGTGGCCCCGGCCCCCTTGGCGCCGCCCCCGCGAGCACCTCGTCTGCCCCCAGGTCCTTCATGTAGGTCCACAGGGTCGGCCCCGCCACAGAGCCCGCTTCCTGCTTCGCGAAAGCCATCGACAGACCGCCGCGCCCCCCCCCCTTGCCCTCGCCCGCCCGCCCTGCTCTTGCGGTAGCGAAACTGGAAGCAGTCGCACTCCAGCTGCTTGGGGGGCCTCGCCTGCTCCTTCCAGTACTGAGCGAGGATATTGCGCACCGTCGCGCTCTGGGTCGCCCGCTCCCCTCGCGGCCCCGTCCGCTTGATCGCCCAGAGGAGCGCCTTGCAGTAGAGACGGATGTATGGGCTGCCTCGCGTCTTGAAGTCCACTGCCTCGCCCTTCGCCTGCCTGGCCTTCATCTCTTTCCACTCCGCATCGTGCTCCTGTCCTCCTTGCACCGGCTCCTCGCCCAGCATGCCCTTGGCCTCGCTGACAGCCGCGTCGTCGTAGAAGCACGCCTCCAGTGCCGTCGCCTGCCTCGCCGTCGCCATGGGGAGCCTCGCCGCCGCCCTGCACAAGTCGGCAATGCTTCCCGCGAATTTGCCTCCGCCTCCACGGTTCCCGCCGTCGCCGCCGCCCATGCCCTTCGGCTTTTTCTCCTTGGGCGGCCGCGCCTCCGATCCACGGGCCGCCGTCGGGTCCGCAACTCGTTTGAGCCAGCCTTGCATCCCGATGTCGTCCGCCATCGCGCCGCTGTCCAGGTTTATCCGTAGTGACTTGCCAAGGGGGATGGCTCGAGCCTAAGCGCCTCCCCAAGTCGCCCTAACTCTCGCCATCAAACTCGCGCATGAGAGACGCGTAGGGCCCGAATAACTTTGCTCTCGCACCGTCTACACCACCCCCTCTGCACACTCCTCTACAGATGCTTCGCTGCTGGTCTCTGACCCGAGAAGACCCGATCGCAGACTATGCACTGGTTAATTTTTGTCAATTCATGGCATAGGTCACGAACGTCACGCACACTACGCTGGCGGCGTAGCAGCTGCCTACGCGCCGGGAACCGCCCCCTGCAAACGCCGCCGTCCTCGCGCCTAACTCCGCACACGAAAATGTTATTCAAGTCATCGCCCCCGTCGCGAGCGGCACCAGTTTGGTCCGTCCGCTGCTCTGCCTGCCGAGCACCAGCAATTGGGATTGATACTGTATACTTGCTCGCACGCACCCTGGCGAAATCCAGGCTCGCGAACTGCGTAGCCAAGTATTGGTCGGCCTCCAGCATCCACGGTGCCCTGCCGAGCTCCTCGAGAATGTCGGCGTCGTCCTCCATCGAGTCGACCGCCTCTGAGGCGCGTGCCCCAACTCGAACCGCCCATGGAGATGCCGACTGCGAATGACACTCCTCCGCGCAAGTTGCGACTGCGTTGATGCCAGGTAGATCAGCAAACAGCGTGGAGAGCAGCTGCGCACGATGCCGCCACCGTAAAGCCCAACTCTGATACCACCTCAGCCTGCGCACCAGTAGCTCCGTCTTCGTGTCCCCCAGTTCCCACTGCGCCAGCACCTGCTCCGTCGCCATGCTCTTCGCGCTGCCGCCGTCGAGCCACTTAGTGGCCCCGCCTGCCATGGCAATTCGCCCACGCTTTGCCGAGCAGAGGTCCAGCCGTCGGCGCTGAGCCTCAGAGAGGATTTAAACACTCCATGCCCGACAGGATTGCCCCCGCCACTGCTCCGTGAAATGCCGCCCTCTTCCAGCGGCATGGTGTAGACAAGCTCCAGGACGCGCCCAGAGAGTAGAACGCTGTCCCTGCCGCCTCGCACCGCCTCGGGACCTCGAACTCTGCCGCGCACTTTGGGGGCGACGTGGGGGCCCAGGTACCTCGCGACTTAATTGAGCTCTACTTGGGCGCCGCGCAACCCCTGGCTCTTCAGCTTCAACCACTTCTTGCAGTCAGTTGAGCGCGTCTCCTGCATAAATGCGCCCGTGACCTGCTTCTCCCTGCTTCGCCCCATGCCCACTGCCTCCAGCGTCGTGTCGAGCTCGTCACCAGCCGCCCTCGGCGTGTCCACAATGTCTCTCATCGTCGCGCTTATGGCCAAGAGGTGGCGCCTGCTGAGGTCGTCCGCATACTGGTGAACCCGAGATCGACGCTCGGCATACCTTCCCACTCGCAAACCAGGAGGTTCGCCGCAAGTTGTGTCTCTCGTAGTCGGGCGGCCCATCGCCCCGTAGGCTCCGCAAAAAGGAGGCGGCGAATGAGTCCACGCTGAAGGGGTCGCCCATCATCAGGCCGTCGCCAACCGCAACTGCGCGGGCCCTCTCTGGCGCGGGCAAGTCTACGACCATGCCCCTGCAGCTCTGCTTGCGCAAAGCTCCATCCTGTACGTCCGTGTCTTCCTCAACTGACTTGTCCAGCGCCTGCCAATTCACCGAGCCGAAAGCATGCTGGAGGTCCTTCATCGTGGCCGCAAAGCTCCATCCCCCATGTGCCAGACGCCAGCTTAGCACCTGAGATGCCATGATCGCCCCCTCGGGCCGCCGCCTTCGTACGAATCCGCAGCTCTGCGGTAACGGAGTGGAGTGCACTCTATTCGCGTAGAAAGCTTTCCTGAAACTGGCCACACAATGGGCGCCTCGTCGTCCTGCTGCTGCCGCCTTTCCAGTCTGCTTGTCTAGTCCCACCGCCTTACTTCTGCGCCAGTAGAGAGGTGCCAGGAGTGTCCTCATCATCAGTAAGGTACTATGGAATAGCACGTTCCTGAACATCATCAGGTCACCCGCCTGCTCCTCGCACCCCAGTCCGAACTTCCGCTCGGTAGTCTCCTTACTCGCTTTCAGCGTCAGATCCCAGAGCTCGAGGGGCGCAACGTCTGGTGGCACCGCCTTTCGCTTCGGCGCCTTCGTCGCGCACCTCGCCATGTTCCCCGCGCCCCTGTTGGCGTGCTCCTCCATCTGTCCTTTAGCCGCAGGTGGTGGTGGTAACCCGTCTCGCCGTCGTCGCCACTCCCCCCAGTCCAGTTCCACCGCCCCTGCACCGACTTCTCGACCAGGTCTGCATTATTGTTGCATCCACTCAGCACTCTTCAACCGTGAAGGTCTCAACCTGCGACCATCTCTACGTTTAGCTCCAAACCGACATCTCGCCGCCAATCTCGAATGCTTCATCGCGTCCGCAAACTTTCGCCCCCCCCCCCAACTTCGGGCCACTATGTTCACGAACTCTTCTCTGCATGCAGCATTATCTGATCGCCGCTGGCCTTTGAGAGCAGCCGAGAGCTCCTTCAGCTGCCCCCCGATATCTTGCAAGCCGGCGTCGTCTGCGCGTTGTCGCCCGCCACGTAGCTCAGCTCGCTGCCGAAGTAGTTTTCGTCTTTGTGTTACTTTCTCCCTCCTGTCCCTGCGCTCTTCTGTGACCGAGAAGTGCTTGTATCCTACGTTAAGCAACGTGTCCTCGATCAGCTCGAAATAGCTATCGGGCGATCCTTCTGCAAGGTGTCGTTGAAATTGATCCTCCCTCGCTGCCAACTCCGCGGCCATATCTGCAAGAAGATCGTTCCTCCCAAATTCATAAGTGATAGCTATCGTCATCGCCGTCGCGTAGCACCTTCGTCTGTCCTAATGATATTCCACTCGTTCGTACGTGTCTAGTATATTATGC